TGAAGAGTGTTGTAGCTGGATTTTTTTTTTTTTTTTGGTTTTTCAAGACATGGTTTCTCTGTGTAGTTTTGCGCCTTTCCTGGAACTCACTTGGTAACCCAGGCTGGCCTCAAACTCACAGAGATCCACCTGGCTCTGACTCCAGAGTGCTGGGATTAAAGGCGTGCACCACTACTGCCCGGCTATAGCTGGATCTTAAGGTAGATTTATTCTCATCTTCCCAAGGAACCACCATACCAATTTCCATAGTGGCTGTCTAAGTTTGCATTTCCAACAGCAACCTTACTCCACATCCTTGCCACTATGACCTGCCACCTGTTTTATTGACATTAACCATTCTGATGGGTGTAAAATGAAATCTCAAAGCAGTTTTGATTTGCACTTCCCTCATGACTTAGATTGCTGAACATTTCTTTAAGTGAAGAACACTTTTTAAAGACTTGATAAACATTGTAATCTTGTACATTCATATTTATTGCTACAGTATTCATAATACTTAAGCTACAGATTGAATCTAGATGTCCATGAACAAATAAAAGTATGCAAAAAGTATCATGTACAGTGAAATTTTATGCAATGATAAACAAAAATAAATAATAGCATCTGAAAGCAAATAGTTGTATTTGTAGTTCAGTACCTTAATTAAATGTAGACTCAGAAAAGACAAAACTGCATTTTCTATAACATATGCAATCTTTCTCTCTCTTTGTGTCTGTTTTTCTGATTATCTATCTGTCTATCTGTGTATCTATCTGTGTATCTATCTATCTATCTATCTATCTATCTATCTATCTATCTATCATGTCTTAAGTAAGGAGACAGTGAGGAAAAATGAATATCAGAATAAAATGTGACATAAAAATAGATTGAGGAACTATTTGAGGGAGGAGAATATCAGGAAGACAGTGGCCTTGGTGATAAGTGACAATAGTGAGTGAGGGAGATGAATAAGAAGAGAGTAAAACAATGTATTTTATTTGGAAAATTAAAAATAAAAACAATGTTAATGCATATATATATATATATAATTATGTGGTTTAAGATACATATATTTTTCATTTGTAGGAAGTTTTGGCTCTTTGTGTAATTGAATTGCTTTTCCATAAGAACATTTCTTCCTTCCTTAACCACACATCTGAAAAAGGATTAGTGTCTAGAACATATATATGTAGTGTCTAGAATATATATATCTCCACCCTCAAAACCTAAGAATCAAGGAAACAGCCCTACTAAAAGTTGTAATACTTAACTGAAGAGAGATAGCAAAGACTACTGAACAGTTTAAAAGGTGCTAAATGTCCTTAGCTACATAACAGTCAGAATATATAAGGTCATGAAAGTAACCAAAAACAAATTTTGGAGAGGATGTGAGGAAATGGGAACTCTCATCCACCATTAATACGACTATTAACTGGTGCAGCCACTATGGAAATCAGTGTGGAGAATCCCCAAAAAAGCTAAAAATAAATCTACCATATGACCTAGGTATACCACTCCTTGACATATGCCTACAGGATTTGACATCCTACTCTACAGATACTTGCTCAGGCATGTTCATTGCTGCTCTATTCACATTTAGGGAGAAGGAAACAACCTAAATGGTCTTCAACTGAAAAATGGATAATGAAAATGTGGTACATATACACTATACAATAGTATTAAGCTGTAAATAAAAATGAACTCATGAAATTTGCTGGTAAATGTGTGTAACTAGAAATGACCATATTGAGTGAGGTTAACCCAGAAAAAGAACTGCCACATGATCTCTCTTATTTGTGAGCTATAGTTCTAAATTTATAGATCTGAGTATATAACATGGAGTAACCACAGAAAACACAGAGTAAAAAGGAACCATAGGAGATGGTGGAAAGGGTTCTAAACAGGGGGAACATAGACATAGGTTCTCTGAATTGGGAAACAAGAAAAGCGTGTGGTGGGGAGGTGTATCTGAGGTGTATCTGAGGAGGGGAATACAGGAAAGAAGGAATAAGGATGGACAAAGAGCACTAAAGACATTTGAAAAAGCCATAGGGAAGCATTATTTTGTTTTCTTAAAATATGTGTGTGTGTGTATGTGTGTGTGATATAGGTGTATGTACACATACACAAATGTACTTAATGACATCATACCACTGGAAGTGATACTGCTCCCCCCAAGTTCCACAGACTATCCAAACAAAAACCTCAGAGAGAGTAGTCATTAGAGGAGTTCAAGAGCCTCCCCAAATACTATAGGCTATTGCTCTTACCCTTGGTTGCCTTCTAAAACTTGAAATTAAGTCCCTATTGTTAAAAACACCACGCACTTCAGATAGAGGACTTGTAAGAATGGAGCTAGAACTGATCTGGAAACTCCTCCATTAGCACTAGGTACAGTACCAGAAAGGGCTATGCAAGTTGCCATGTTAGAAAAGTAGTAAATAGTCCTACCCAACTATAAAGCCTATAAACCAATGACCCACAGTGCAAGTTATACCCAAGGGTACAATAGTGGCATTTATAGCTCCTAGGATTCCCAACAGTTGGGAATTCATGGCTTGTAGTGGGTAGCCATGCTATTGCCAACCTAGCCAACTAACCATGGCTGGTGTGTTCATGGTCCCCAGAGGTGAATCGACTGCTGTCAGCTTCCTAAACCAGTCTAATTTCTAACCGTTTCTAAATACCTATCCTTATACTCACAGATAAATGTAATTCTTACCCCTCATTTTTTAGAGAAAAAGATACGCTCCTTTTTTAGGCAGACAGAGACCATTATTGAAATCCATAATGGTACAGAGCATAGAATAACTGACTGTGGGCTATTCATCCCCCATTGATGCACCAACAATTTAGTTCTCACATCTAGGTTACAGAGAAGGGAGTGGGAAGATTGTAAGAACCAGAGGACAAGGATATCTACTGTCAGTGTTTTGTTTTGTTTTTATGAAAGGGAAGCAGAACCCAAGGAATCTTAACAATATGGCTTCCTAAATGAGGCCTGCACAATGACACTAGTTTGACACTCCAATGTGGATGGGGGAAATTTCACAAGACCCATAGATGAAGATCTATATGTAACTAATGACCGCTGAGAGAGGGAGAATTAATTTTCTTGGGTTCCTTGATAGGTTAGGCAACACCAAGTCACCAAGTGGTCATTCTTAAACACATATTGTAAATACTAAATAAACTCAGTAGGATATACATACATACATACATATGTACATATGTACATATGTACGTACGTACATATATACGTACATACACACATATATCTGAAATAATATATGTGAAATAATAATATATATAATAATTAAAGAAAACAAGGTCATATATTTGAGAGGGAGTAGAGTGGGCATGGGAGGATTTGGAGAGTAGAGAAGTTGGTAGAAATTATGTAAATACAGAACTTGGGTCTAAAATGCTAAAACTTAATTGATTAAATGAATAAATGTAAACAAAGAAAAACTACTTTGAGATTCCATTTTACCCTGGTCAGAATTGCCATTGTTAGGAATACAAATGGCAGCAAGTACTGGCATGCATGTGGGAAGGCAAACCCTTACACATGGTTAGTGAGAGTGCCAACTAGTGAAGCCACTTTGAAAACCAGTATGTAGGTTTCTCAAAAAACTAGAAATAGTACCACCATATGACCAAGTGACGCCACTCCTGGGCATGTAGCCAATGTATTTTATATCCCCTCCACTACAGATATATATGTACATCCATGTTCATTGCAGCTTTTTTACAAAAACTCAAAAATGGAATTAGTTCAGATGTCTATCATTTAACTAATGAATAAGAAAAATGTGGCACATATACACAATGTAGTGATAAAACAAAGATAAAATCATGAAATTTTCAGGTTAATGGATGAAACTGGAAAACTACACTGAGAGACTAAATGCAGGACCAGAAAAAAACACCATATAGTCCCTTTCATATGTGGATCCTAGCTTCCAACCTTTTGTGTTATATATTTAACTTGGTGAATAAGTGGACAGCAAGAAACTAGAATGAGGCAATTATGGGGAGGTGTGTTAAGGGAGAGGTGACAGTAGACTGTAGGTAAGAAAAACAGAGAGGTAGATTTCTCTATGTGGAAAGGCTTAACCCAGCAGGGGCGCTGGAGCATGAAGGGAATTAGGAAGAACAAAGGGGGAAAAACTAATATCAAAAGGAGGGGGTATGAAAATTCATTTGGAAGCTTACTATATCATGATATAGCTAAAGCCAATTAATTGAAGGAACTGTAGGATATCCAATATGTAAAATATAGGAAGAGGGAGAAATATTAGGGGTTAAAGAATTAAACAGAGATGGGGTCCCAGTTATTATGGGGGAAAGGAGTAGTGAGTAGCTAAACCAATACTCAGGATGCACTAAAAAGCCTTATGGAACCCGGGGCCTATGTAGGGACACTTTGTTCAGCCTGGGAGGAGGGGACTGGACCTGCCTGAACTGAGCCTACCAGGTTGAGCTGAATCCCCAGGGGAGTCCTTGCCCTGGAGGAGATGGGAATGGTGGGTGGGCTGCGGAGGAGGGCCGGGGGGGGGGGGGGGGGGGGGCGGGAGGAAGGAAGACAGGAGAATCTGGGGCTGATATGTAAAATTAAATCAAATTATAAAATAAAATAAAATAAAACTTAAAAAAGCCTTATGGAATTTCATTTGTTTATAAGCTAATTTCAAAATATGATAAAAATGGAGTTGGAATGGATATATTGTGCATGGTGGGGATGGTGCTGATAAAGTTGCTCCAGAAGATAAGAATTATTAAGTCAAAATCACGAGTTTCTTTAAAGTGAAAATAACACAAATTTATGTATGTGTGTGATACATTCTCCTAACTACACATACATGCATCCTAGGAGTTTCAATCCTTTTGTCACTGGTGCTGGTGTACACCAAAGAAAACGATACTGTGAAAGTATGCTTGGCTCTTTATTGACTTACAGAACATTACAGTGACAAGATATTTTTCAATTTTTGAAATATGTTGTTTCACCCCTGCATATCAAAAGCTCAGCCATAGCTACATGAGATCGGGACTTTCCTTAAGACTTTTCAAAATTAAACAAACTGGTTTATTTAAACAAACACACACTTTTTAAAATTAGAGACTGAAAACAATGAGCTCTTTTCCCTTCCTTGTAAAGCTGACTTCATTGTTGTGAGTTTAGCAGGTGGACTCAACTGGTAGGAAAGTGTCACAGACTGAAGCCCTTAAAAACTTGATGTTTTATATTCAGTGTACTAACAGAAAGTCTTCAACACGTTCTTCGGTGCTTCCTCAAGTAAACATAATCCTGGACTCTAAGTGCTATGATGTTCAATGCTTAGGCATGTGTGAATGCCACTGTTGGAATAGTTTGTATGAAAACTACTCCAGGGTTATGGAAAACCATACTATTTTTGAAACATGACATTCTATCAAATAATTACATATGAGTCAAAGAATACTGATAAAGCTAAAGATGCATTTGGAAATGAGAGATAGAATTGAGAAATGGCTGGCTATGAATTTTTTTTACTTCAATTTCTAATAAGTCATTTGTTTTGGGGTTTCTGTATGCTTTAAGTAAAAACTTTGCTAAAGTTTGATTCTCGGATTTCTTGTCCAAGGTTTTAGGTGACTTCAACTGTCTATGTCGATGGCCATTATATAGAAAAATACCATTTTCTGCTTAAATTTTAACTTTCTTTAGGAATTAAACATTGTGTAAGACTATTACAAAGTGGATAGCTATAGAATAACTTTACCTGTAAAATCTAGGAGTAACATTAACTGTATCATTTTAATTAACTCAAAATCTTGCTTTTAAACATGAGATTTGTTTCAGTAAACTTTGGAATAACTGTTTCTTTACTATAAGCAAAAGTTAGCTACATTAATTTGCTAATTAGAAAAATGTAATAATACTAATATCTGTTGTAGTCACAAATAAGGTGTTAGAATATTATTTGTTTAAAATAAAAAACTAAATTTTTGTTATTTCAAAATTTAAATATATTCCTTATCTTTCTGTGGTTTGAATTTTATCTTAGTTGTCAAAGCTTGTCTTGATACTGGGAGATAGTAATTTTAACATATTTTTAAGTTACAGAAGCTACAAGATGAAAACCGATACACTACCCAACACCCATGGAATATCTATCTCCCAGCAGAAAGTGAGATTCACTGAAACTCAAAATAAATTCTAATAGAAGATTAAGTTTAACATGCTCTTCAAAAACTATTAGTAACAGGATTGAGAAAGCGAAATGAGAATGCACTGGCTTCCTCACTGGCTTTTGCAGATAACTGGGGAACAATATTTTCAGTAGTATTTGCAGTATCTTCTTGTGTAGTAGAAATATTGAAGGCTACATAATCATGATCACATAAGGCTGATAGGACATTTGATGGCTTCTTTAGATTATCCAAAAGGAGGTCATTAGAATCTTGAAGATTTTCTCCAAAATCACATATTGGTGTACCATCTAATAGTAAAAGCTGGGGTTTTTCCATGCGTTGTTTCACATGTTTGTCTGTGGAAAGACAGTGTTTTGTTACATGTGATGTAGGAGGAAAACAAAGTATAATTCAAAGTTTTAACACTGTTAAATGCTTCGTGGTAGATATTAAGTCTTATCTGTCTACTCTCCTGAGTTACACTCTTCAAATTGGTTATATTAGCCAAGAAAAAATTTATTCTTAAAAGTTACTATCAGCTTTTCCTACTATACTTATAGGTGATTCATTTTTTATTGGAAAAGAGATCTAGTTATATCCAAATATGTGTTTGGAATTAAGGAGGTACCACTAGACATAAACTTGGCAGACTACACTAATCATAAAATAGAAGGCTGACTGTGAATGACTAAGCTTACTGAACAATAAAGGATTTATTTTCTGAAAAAGAACTTTCAATGTCATGTGAGGAACACAAAATTATACCACAACCTTTTAATAGTTGGTCATGGTTTTTGTCTTAAAATCAGTCACATATATACGGTCCCTGAAGTTTATAGAGTCATTACCAGGGCTCTTTCATATGTATAATCTTATTTAAAATAGCTTATGAAATAAGAAAAATAGTTCACACAAGCATTGACTAGGACTTTCAAATGTTAAATCATTTGCTGAAAGTCATATGGATAGTTGTGAGCTTGGGTCTTGGGTATACATTTTCTGATCATTCTACAAATTTTCTTTTATACCTTTTTCCCCACTGGCTTCAAGCAGACTTCTTTCTCCTTTGTTTTCCATTAGACTTACACTCTGGGTACAAAGAGAAAATACTAAAGTCCTTATCAATACGTCATTTTCAGTGATAAAGTTAAATAACTGAGATCAAATCTTTCCCTTGAGGCTGTAACTATATAGTGTGTTTTGCAAATATGAGGCCACAATTTCAATTCTCTGTACCGAAAGAAGCATATTTCTTGAGAGATTAACAAAGTTAAGAAAGGTACATTTCCATTTATCTTGTTTTCTAAAAGTATAGTTTTAACTGCTGTTTAGACAGAAGAACAAAACTAATTCACAGTACATCCAGAGCCAACTGTACCATGGAAGTCTATTTTCCATTTAACTTGAACTAATATCTACCGATATTTATTGGACCAGACAGAAACGAACACAGTAGGCACTGTTTTCAAACATGCATGTTTGAATGTGAATAATGAGATCACCAAATATGCCTGCTATGCCTGGCAAAAAGGAAACAATACTTCTTTCCAATCATTCCTGTCTAAACAATATAACAAGAATGAATTCCCTCAAGTTCTAGACCCATTGCTGATCAGCAGGGAAAAATAATGATTTCCCCCTATACAGCTTCCCTAATTGGAGGAATCATTCTGAGAGAATAGGGATTTGTTTTTGTCTTAAAAAAGCAACAACCATATGATCTTACTAAGCTAAGAGAATGACCTGTAAATAGACTTTTAAAGACAGTTGTCTAGGAGGAATTGTAGGCAAGTGAGAAAGATTTTTAAAATTTATTTTATTTTATACCTTTTAATTAATATATAATGGCATCATTTACCTCCCTCCAGTCCCTCCCAGCTTCCACCCCTCTAACTCCTTCCATGTACCCAGTCTCACTCAGCAAGGAAGATTTTTGTTTGTTTGTTTTCAGAAAAGGTCTCTCTATGTAGTCCTGCCTGTCCTGGAACTCACTCTGTAGATCAGGCTGGCCTAGAACTCACAGAGATGCTTCTGTCTCTACCTCCCAAGCGTTGGGATTAAAGGTGTGCATCACCACCCCTGGCCAAGAAAGATTTTAATAAAGACATTTTCAAAAACTGGCTGTCTTATTCTTTTCTATTTCTATTTTAATTTCTAGTAATAACTATGGGAATTTCATAACCCAATTAATTCTAGTCAAAATTGAAGATTTCCTTGATAAAATTTGGGTAACTGTCCAATAATAATACAGTAGTACATTCAATATTCAGATATTTGGCCATGTCAGAGACTAAAATGCAGATTTTCCCTTTGTGAATATTTTCACACATAATTATAAAGTCATGGCATAAGAGAAAGGGGGTGGTATTCTATAGCAACTTTTTAAAAAAATGGGTAAAATATGAGTAATGTGGTGATACTAATGCTAAGTCAGTCATACTAACTCAGTTGCCCTCCCCCATGGTTGACATATCTCTTAGCAATTTATCTTTGTCATAAAGAATAATTAAATTTATAGGACAACACACGTAACTGGAAAACATTCTGTTAATCAAAGTAACCAAAGCCCAGAAAACCAAATACCACGTGATCTTTCTCATATGTGGATACTAGTCTCTAACTGTTAAATATATGTATCACAGTAGAAGTAAATAACGGTAAAGGTGAAGAAACTAGTAAGGGGTACATTAGAATGACAAAGAAGTGGCTTTAAGGGATCAGGATGGAGAAAACAACAGAGCAAAGTAGAAGAGGAATACGAGAGGCATATAGGGTACAGCAGAGAAAAAGAGATGGAGAGAAATAGAAGGGGAGTGTGGCAGGGAGACTCAAACAAAGAGAAATGTGTATGAAAATACCTTATGGAAGCCTGCTACTATGATAGCTTGTGAAAAGAATATTAGCAAATATATTGCTTTACTCTTATACTTCCCTTTGACACTTGAGGCAAATTCACAAGAAAAGTATGTTATTTCAGGGTATCTATAGCATAAAAGCCCATTAAATTGAACAAATAGTTCCAATTATGACCCTATAGTTTGGAATATAATAAGTCTTCTTTGTGTAATTTATAAAGAAAGCAATAGCCAAGGAAAACAGTAATTCATTTAGAAACATATGTCAAAAAAATTTTGAGATAAATTCTTATTGTCTAAGCTGGCCTTGAACTCCTGGACTCAAGAGATTCTCCTGCAACAGCATCCCAATTAGTTGGTACTATATGTGTATGTACTATAAGTATTTGTGATACTGTATAAAGCTTGCCAATTATTTATTATCAGTACTTACTTTGTAAATGTGTGAACAAAGAATTTGTATTTGAATAAATGTGTTTTTAATGTTATAAGTACCCCCAAAGTATTAAAATCTTAAAAACACATTATGTTGAATAACCTTTGTTATTAATCAGTACTAAGGCACTTGAGAAAAAATGTGAATCGGTCAATGAACGATTATAAATATAAGCCATCTTATATCATTCACTTAACTGAAAAAAATTTCTGCTAAATCTACTATGGCAATATTCACCAGTAAATTACAAACACATGATGTATATAAAGGAATAAAGAGATGAGATATGGATCTTACATTGGTTTCTACCACAATATCCATATTGAGTAAATTTTTAGATTTGTTTGCCATCAAAACAGGAAGTTCATAACAGGCTGACTGAAAAGAAATTACAAGGAAAATCCTCTAAATGTACTGACATTATAAATAAACATATAAACATCTAGCTATCATGGAAAGGGGGACTTTGTATAGCACTGAATTACACTGTGAAAAGAAGGAGAACTTTGAATACATAAAATCACTAAAAACAAAACATCATATCATGGAATACTTTAATGTTTAATGTTTTAAGTTGCTGGAGAAAGGAAAACTTCATGTAAAGACAAATTCTGATGTTGCTATAAGGAAGAGAGACATAATGATTTCAAAAAACTAGGCAAATATGAAATATACTAAATTAGAAAAACCAAGGTAAAAGCACAAGTATTCTTGAGTCCCAGGCCTGATGTTATTGGTGCTAATTCTCATATATCATTCTACTTTTTGAGCAATAAATATAAATGCAAGAAAGTCACAAATTTGAGTTGATGAGCTTACCTCACTGAAATGATCAAAGTCATAATTCACTGCCTTCCTAGATAATAATGAATTTAGCTCTACCAAGTTTCCTTCAGTATGATGCATTTTATTCCTTCAACGAGAAACATAGAGATAGGGAGTAAAGGTGGATGCGAACCATGATATTCTTACTTCTAAGAAATAATCTTTGAGAAATCCAGAGGACAGTAAGTTGAAAAGATTATGCTGGGTTCTCAGCTAAGAAACCATAAACTAATATTGCACTTTTCAGTTACAGATATCTCACTTGCAGAGTATAAAGCCTATTGCTGTAAGATTTCAGCCCACTTCTCAGTAAAGTTCCAGAGTTTTCAACCCGATGAACTCCAGAAAAGGATGGGAGAAAAAGACCACATTAGTCTCTTCGTAAATAGGAAGTACTTTTCAACCTGAGAAAGATGTCAATAGCCACAGGACAATAGTTTTTACATGTCTGGTACAAAATAAAGATGACAAATTGCTGTCTCAGAAGAGTAAGATCTGAGGGACCACAACAATGTAACTAGCTGACGAAAAATGACCAAGAGATCTTTACACTTATGAGATTGTATATATTCAAATTTCGGTTTAGAAATGACTTGATTCCTCTCAATGAAGAACACCTAGTCTAAATCTCATCAAAAGATGAGTCACCTGCCGGGTGGTGGTGGCACACACCTTTAATCCCAGCACTCAGTAGGTACTGGCAAGTGATCTCTGAGTTTGAGGACAGCCTGGTCTACAGAGTGAGTTCGAGACCAGCCAGAGCTGTTACACAGAGAAACCCTGTCTCACAAAAACAAAAACAAAAACAAAAACAAAACAACAAAAAAGAATCACGGACTTGAGTGAGTGGGACATGCACATCAGCTGGGAAGCAGAAGTATTACACATTTTTTTTTAACTTTCTGTCAGGAGCTCTGAGGCTTTTGACTTCATTTTGTCATTAATTAGGAAAACTAAGAGTTCTGAGAAACATTTGCATTACTATCAAGTATTATCACCAGTATTTCTACTCAACTTGATTTCAAGAAGCTATTAAATTCTTGTAGGCTGATATCATAGGAATCCTTTGGTTCTCCCTATATCTTTCTTTCTTTATTTAAAAGTTTTTTTTCCACTCTACATACCAATCACAGTTTCTCCTCACTCCCCACCTCCCAGTCCTCTTCATCTCTCCCTCCCCCAACCCACATCCACTCCTCAGAGAGGGTAAGGCCTCCCATGGAGAATCAACAAAGCCTGGCATATCAAGTTTAGGCAGGACCAAGCCTCTCCTCCCTGCATCAAGGCTGAGTAAGGTATCCCTCCATAAGGAGTAGGGTCCAAAAAGGCTAGTTCATGCTCTAGGGATAAATCTGGTCCCACTGTCAGGGGCCCCACAAACTGCCCAAGCCACACAACTGTCACCCACATCCAGAAGGTCTCCCTAGCTGTCGATCCAGAGTCCATGAGCTTACTCTAGCTTTAGTCAGCTTGGGTCAGCTGTCTCTGTGGGTTTCTCCCATCACGATTTTGACACCCCCCACCCCTGATATAATCCCTCCTCCCTCTCTTCAACTGGACTCCAGGAGCTTGTCCCAGTGCTTAGCTATGGATCTCTGTATCTGCTTCCCTCAGTTACAAGATGAAGGCTCTATGACAACAATTAGGGTATTCACCAATCTGATTACCGACATGCATGGATTGCCCTATATCTTTATTTCTTTCTTTTTCTCTTTCTTTCTTTCTTTCTTTCTTTCTTTCTTTCTTTCTTTCTTTCTTTCTTTCTTTCTTTCTTTCTTTCTTTCTTTCTTTCTATCTTTCTTTCTTTCTTTCTTTCTTTCCTACACAAAATCGTATTTTGTGAGACAACCTACACAATCATCTCTGTCCTTTACAAACTAATCTACCCATCATTTCTAGCTTAGATTTT